CCTTGGGTATTTTAAATAGGAATATATATTTTTTTTATTCATAGCTTTAGAGGACATCGAGACGAATTCAAAACACATATTACATGATATTTTTATTAACATATTACTCGATTTACAGAAGAGGAAATGTGAAGTACTTAGCTTTTGACTTTGGTAGTGTAACCATTATTTGATTCCAAAGAGACTAGTGAATGTAAGCACGCGACTAGGATGTAAGAAAAATACACTTTATTTAATTACATGTTCAAAATGTATGCCGCCTTCCATCACGTAATATTCCTGTCTTTCACTTCACATTTCCACTTCGACTAAATTGTGCGAAGTATCAAAGTACCAAATTAGCAAAGTGCAAAGTTAGTAAAGTGGCAAATTAGCAAATTAACAAAATAAAGTAGCAACGTAGCAAATTTACCAAAGTAATAAAGTACTGAAGTACCAAATTAGGAAAGTGGAAAACTAGCAAATTCGCAAAGTAGCAAAGTAACAACGTAGCAAAGTAGCAAAGTGCCAAATTGTGCAAAGTATCAAGGTATCAAATTAGTAAAGTGGCAATTAGAAAAGTACCAAAGTACCAAATTAGGAAAGTGGCAAACTAGCAAATTCGCAAAGTAGCAAAGTAACAACGTAACAAAGTAGCAAAGTAGCAAAGTGCCAAATTATGTAAAGTATCAAAGTATCAAATTAGCAAAGTGGCAATTAGAAAAGTACTAAAGTAGCAAAGTGCTAAATTTCGCAAAGTACCAAAACAACAATGTAGCAAAGCAGCAATGTACCAAATTGTGTAAAGTATCAAAGTATCAAATTAGCAAAGTGGCAATTAGAAAAGTACCAAAGTAGCAAAATGCTAAATTTCGCAAAGTACCAAAACAACAATGTAGCAAAGCAGCAATGTACCAGAACAGCAAAGTAGCGAAGTAACAATATTGTAAAATAGTAGAATAGCAAAACTGCAAAACATAAATTAATAAAGTAGAGATATAGTAAAGTAGCAAGATATTAAAATAGTAGAATAGCTTGTCAACATTGTAGCAAACAGTAAAATAGTGAAACGATAAAATTATTAAAATAACACAAGAGGGCGAAAGACAAAGAAACCAAGTAAAAACGACCGGTTGTTTTTCACAGTATTCTCCATTGTTCGTCACGTGCGTGAAAAAACCTGTTTGAGAAACATTGTGCAAGATGGATTTTCCTAAATGGATCACGATAGAGAACAAGAATTAATCACCCGCCATTGTAATAGACGTTGTATCCACGATAAGTGACGCAGCTGTTAGAACCACTTTTCACTGGTGTTCCATACGGGGGATGCTAACGTGTAAAAGGGAGGATTCATTCGCCTCTCGCAAACTCTTACTGCTTCCCACCCCTTCTCTTTGCCTGTACACGGTATTTCTTGTCAAAAATGATGTATCGATAGAAACGGAGTCGACGAATTTACGCGTAATCGTATGGCTGACGCAAGTAGGTTGCTGGAGTATCGAATTTTATGCTTTACGAGAATTTACTGTTATTTACGTTGATATTAGCGTTTTTAGGTCACTGTAAACGCTATTTCATTATTATTATCGTTATTATATTACTATCACTGTCACTGTATAATACTGACATGTTACATTACTTACTATATTATTTTTAGTTTGCTCATATTACTGTTTCTATATTAGGTAATATTAACGCTATTTAATAATTCTTATCATTAATACATTGCTGTCACTGTCACTGTCACTGTATGATACTGGGATGTTACATTACTATATTATTTTTAGTTTGCTCATATTACTGTTTCTGTATTAGATACTGTTAACGCTATTTAAATATTCTTATCATTATTATATTACTATCATATACTATACCAGGGGTGGCCAAGTTCCTTGATAGTCCAAGCCATTTTTCAAAGTTTGAAATGTTTCGCGAGCCGCAATTTTCGATGGCGCAGTTTTCGATGAATCATATTATTCTTAACTTGGACGGAAATGAAATTTGTTACAACGTTGCACTTAGTCTTTCATATTTGTCGTTAGTAATTTCAACGACATTTTGAAACACATATGGAACGATAATAATTTTTTAAAATATAATAGCACAAAAATGAAAAGGGAACTTGGGTACATTTATCGAGAGCCACAAATAATCCTTCAAAGAGCCGCATGTGGCTCGCGAGCCGCAGGTTGGCCACCCCTGGAGTAGACGGTACTCACTACATGAATAAAAGTGTCATAGTTTCAAATTTCCAAATCCCTAAATCCTTAAATTTTTGAATCCGCAACTTTACTTCTGAAACTTTAAAGTTTGTTAATATGTTGGAAAATGTTCCTCAAAATTATTTTTTATATCTTCATTGTATGTAAGTATACTGTTAAATAAAAGTTCATAAATTACCAGAAAACCAGTCATTCACAATACCTGTGATCCTAATTAGGAAGCCAGTTTCCTAAATTGAATCACTGACGCAATTTCTTAGAATATTATTTTTTAACGAGATACATAACGTTTCGGTCTGTTTTATTAGATTTTCTATTAAGTGAAGAGATCAAACTTTTAGTATTGTCACTCCTTATATTATTTTTAGTGTGCTCATACTACCGTTGCTATATTGCTATCATGAATGCTCATTTTACTGATTAGTATATTACTGTTAGCATTACTGTATACATATACTACTATCGCCAATGTTATGTTATTTTTGCGATTACTATACCACTACTCATATGTCACCATATAACCACATTGCTATTGTGAACGCTATGTTATTCGAGTGATTTCTACACTAGAATTTCCATGTATATACATTACTATCGTCAATATTATGTTACTCTTGCAATTGCTACATTCTTATTACTATTACTATATTTTCATCAGAAGTGCTATCAAAATAAATTAATACTGTATTTATCATAGTTAAACATATTGATCACTGAAGATGCTCAAATAAAAAATATAAAGAATCTCACATAAAAAATTAGAGTGTACTACGAAAAATACTCTTCCTTTAAAAGTAGACCTCTTTCAAATGTATCGTACTTTACAAGTACACTGAACTTCACAAAAGAGAATATTCGATATGACGTAAAAAAAATTATGCTGTATGCAGTTTCCCAATAAATTCAATAAAACTACATAAGGTTATATTAGCAAATAAACTATTTATCGAAGAAGCAATATTTTTCTAGAAAAAAGTCCTATTTTCTACACATTTCAAAATGTTACAAACTAAAAAAGGTATAAAAAATTTCCTGAAGATCGAAATTCTGCTTTTGCTCTCCAAAAACAGTTTAAACATCGAATGAAGCTGAATTAAGTAAAAAACCACTATTATTATCTTCAGTTAAGAGTTTTTTGCAAATGAAGCCGTTAAAGGATCGAGGATAAAGGATCCTCAGATGTCATCGATTCTAAGGACAAGATAGGAACAGCGGAGCACAGCACGGGACTCGAGTAACGCTCGGATAAATAGTTCGCTAACGGGAAAGCAGAAGAGCTCTTATACGAATTGGCTGAATTCCAAGGACGAAGTCGGTAGAAGGAAGCTCTTCTTTCTTTGTCCTTGGCTCGTTCCTTTCATCTCTTAGGCGGACTTTCTTTTAGCCAGGCCCAACATCTGAGGAATAGTTGAAAGTTTGACCGATAGTCGGGACGCATTTCATTCCGCTCGAAATTCCGGCAAACATGTGCTAGACTGAATCTCTGCTAAGGAATCACCGCGGAATTCTTACCGCGGGACACGCACTGCATCCTTTAAAACTTTGCGCCGATGCGCAAAACAGCATCCTCGTTTACGATCCAGCAGGTACGAGGAAAAGGAAAGTTTCGCCGTGGATGCCACGTGTTCAGTTTCGCGCGAAAATTTCACACAAAGATGCCTGCCTATCGATCTACCGAAAATTCATACTTGAATTCCAGGGGAATTTATTAAATTGAAAATTCGTGTTGCAAAATCTATGGGTTTTCATTCATTTTTATGTTTTGGTTTAACTGGGTAGTTTTTGATATTTCTAGTTTTGGAGACGATGATATTTCTATTCTTGAAGCCTCATTTACTAATTTTGAAAACTGCTATGTTTTCATTTTTGCAGACCGTGATATTTCTAGTTTTGATAACACTGATATTTCTATTCTTGAAGTCTCATATTACTAATTTTGAAGACTGCTATATTTTCATTTTTGGAGACTCCGATATTTCTAGTTTTGATAACACTGATATTTCTATTCTTGAAGTCTCATATTACTAATTTTGAAGACTGCTATGTTTTCATTTTTGGAGACCCTAATATTTCTAGTTTTGAAAACACTGGTATTTCTATTCTTGAAGTCTCATATTATTAATTTTGAAGATTGCTATATTTTCATTTTTGGAGACCCTGATATTTCTCACTTTGAAAACACTGATATTTTTATTTTTCAAGACATTATTTTAAATCCTCAGGGAAATGTGCACTCTTTAAAAACAGAAGTAGAATGTAAATATTAAAAAATGTTGAATTTAGAAGTATCATGTAGAGAATTAAAAATTTTTAAGCCCAAAAAATATTGCAAGAGACTGAAACTTTCAAAAGTAGAAGACTTATATACTCGAGAATTCCAAGGTTATTGTCACAATTTTTTTGATGTTCGACATGCAAATTATTGCTAATCATGACATTAGCATACATACATTTGTCCGTATTAGTATAATTAATGCACAATGAAAGAATAATTGATCGTCATACAAAATGTTGATCATTTTTGTTATTATCAACGTGTTACTTCGATTAAATTGAAAAGTCACCATAATGCATAAGCATTATAGACGTATCAATGATCTATAATGCAATTAAAAGTCACATTTTCGATGCGACATTGAACAATAAGTCAAATTTCTAATTATAATGGAATTGATCTGGATGTTGCATTTTAGAACACAACAAGGAGCGCAGGTGCGCTGCATTGTTGTAGCTTTTTGTTCGTTCGACGATAGTATTCTTCGGTTTAGTATAAATACTCAGCTAATCGAGAACGAAGGCGTCAGTATCGTAACTAAGGCATCAGCAATAGCTACGACATTCCTCAGCAATCATGGTATCGAAATACATCGTTCTTTTCGCCCTCGTTGGCGTAGCCTGCGCTTATATTCCAGTGGTAAGTTAAAACTTTTTATTAAAAACTATTTTGCAAAATTTACAACCGATTTTCGATAGAATGTTGCCGGAATTTTTCTTCGAGAGAATCATCTCTTATCTTTACAAGAATATTATTTGCATCGAATATTTTGACTCTGAAAATGTTACGAGTTGTCAAATGTTTTTGCTAATGTTTCTATTATTTTTATTTGCCACAAGATGAGTTTTAATAATTTAAAATATCTAGGTTAAAATGTAGGTGGAAAATATCTAAAAACATAAGTTTCATTTTTTACTGCTATTCATTTTTTGTGATATTTTTAACTTGTACTTTAGACAAATATCGATCTTTGAAAAAAGTCAAGTATTTTCATAAAATCAATATAGTTATAAAAATTGAAATAAATCGGTAAATTAACAAGTTATGGGTATGAATTCATATTACCTCAGTACGACATACTTATATGACGTGCTTATCTAAATCACAAGAAGGATAAACTTCTGATCGAAACTCGAGGGTTGTGGTGGACAGTGGCGGGAGAATTCAAATCTGTTTATGTGAAGAATTTTCGTAGTGAAATAAATAATTAATAGTAAAATAAAATATTTCGATTTAATATGAAATGGTAAAACTTATTTTGATGTGGTATCAATTTCTTTCATCCCAATTCATAACAAAATTATCTAATTTACATTTGATGTTAAATGTGGTTTTAAGGAGATTTCAAATATTTGGAAATAATATTTTCATTTTTAACGCGAAATTAATATTGTATCATATAACAGACTAAATTTTAGTACTTCAGATAAAATAGACAAATTTGTTATTTTATTTTAATATTTTGCTATGTAATTCCATTTTCGTACAAAGAAATTTAAATTTTGCCGCCATCCGACCACGTCACGATATAGCAGAGTATCTTTACTACCTTACGGATCATAAACCGTAAAGGAAATAAAGCCACAAAGAGTCTGGATTGCATTCTCCGACTCCTCTTTTACTGCAATTATAACACCTAATTTTTACATGCTCTGTATTTGTGTTTTCCAGAAGAGGGAAGCTAACGCTACCCTCGTCGCAGACAAGTCGGCCTCTGGTTCAGTCTCCGGTTCGGTCTCTGGTTCGGCCTCCGGTTCGGTTTCTGGTTCGGCCTCTGGTTCGGGCTCTGGTTCGGCCTCCGGTTCGCTGTCCAACGCTGCGTCGATCGCCGCCGAATCCTGGTCCCAACTCCAGAGCAAAATATCATCTGTTATGAGCTCCAGTGACCACAGTTCCTGCTTGGATCTGCTTGGAATAAGCAACGCTAAGGAAAAATTGGAAGCGATCGACTACACGAAAATCACCGTCGTTGCAGAAATACCTGACCTCACCAAACTCAACAAGTTGCCTGTTCTGCTTGACTTGAAAGAAAGCATCAACCTTGCCAGGAGGCGTATTGCCGCCAAACTGCTTTCTTTGGCTAATGTCACCGTCGAAGCTGGACTTGAACTTGACGCGGAAGTGAAGGCTGCCGTTCATGCAGCTATCCTTGCGGCCATCAAAGCAGCTAAACCTGTCGAGCTCTTGATCGAAATTGTCTACAACATCGTTAAGGTCTACTTCGAAATTGCGCTCAGTGCCCCTCTGTTCATCGCTTCGCCTTCCATAATTGCTGAAGCTATCTCGTTGGCTAGCAGTTGCGTGTCTGTTGTTATCTCGGCTTCGGTTTCCGTTTCGGTTTCCGCCTAAAAAATTATTCAATTTTGGATTGGTTTGACGACTAACGACTAGGTAAATGAAATTCCCAGTTGCAACTGCATAAAACACCATCTTATGTGCAGTTGTAGCCGTATGTTACTGATCATATTTTATCTTCAGCTTGAATAAAGCTTTTAATTGCATTTTATGTGGTATTCTTTCTATCCCAACTGTATAGTTCATCACTTAGATTCCTGTACATGTTATATCATTAATCCAATTTTATATTTGATTGTTCATCTATCCACATATTTGTCCATCTACCTGTCCACATTTATATGGATCTTTTGCCTCGGATTCATATAATATTCGAATAGTATTTCTCCATACCTAACCTAACTTTCTATCAATTGAATCATCCACTCACTTCTTTAAACTGACCCTTCAAATCCAATTTTCTATACTTCGATTGCTACCTAACCTTCCTTTCTGTCTACTTAACTCTTCATGTATCCGTTCCCAATCTCCATATTTGTAGATCTACACCATAACCTCGCCTGACTTATCCGCATTCGGCCTCTGGTTCGGGCTCTGGTTCGGCCTCTGGTTCGGCCTCTGGTTCGGGCTCTGGTTCGGCCTCCGGTGCGCTGTCCAACGCTGCGTCGATCGCCGCCGAATCCTGGTCCCAACTCCAGAGCAAAATATCATCTGTTATGAGCTCCAGTGACCACAGTTCCTGCTTGGATCTGCTTGGAATAAGCAACGCTAAGGAAAAATTGGAAGCGATCGACTACACGAAAATCACCGTCGTTGCAGAAATACCTGACCTCACCAAACTCAACAAGTTGCCTGTTCTGCTTGACTTGAAAGAAAGCATCAACCTTGCCAGGAGGCGTATTGCCGCCAAACTGCTTTCTTTGGCTAATGTCACCGTCGAAGCTGGACTTGAACTTGACGCGGAAGTGAAGGCTGCCGTTCATGCAGCTATCCTTGCGGCCATCAAAGCAGCTAAACCTGTCGAGCTCTTGATCGAAATTGTCTACAACATCGTTAAGGTCTACTTCGAAATTGCGCTCAGTGCCCCTCTGTTCATCGCTTCGCCTTCCATAATTGCTGAAGCTATCTCGTTGGCTAGCAGTTGCGTGTCTGTTGTTATCTCGGCTTCGGTTTCCGTTTCGGTTTCCGCCTAAAAAATTATTCAATTTTGGATTGGTTTGACGACTAACGACTAGGTAAATGAAATTCCCAGTTGCAACTGCATAAAACACCATCTTATGTGCAGTTGTAGCCGTATGTTACTGATCATATTTTATCTTCAGCTTGAATAAAGCTTTTAATTGCATTTTATGTGGTATTCTTTCTATCCCAACTGTATAGTTCATCACTTAGATTCCTGTACATGTTATATCATTAATCCAATTTTATATTTGATTGTTCATCTATCCACATATTTGTCCATCTACCTGTCCACATTTATATGGATCTTTTGCCTCGGATTCATATAATATTCGAATAGTATTTCTCCATACCTAACCTAACTTTCTATCAATTGAATCATCCACTCACTTCTTTAAACTGACCCTTCAAATCCAATTTTCTATACTTCGATTGCTACCTAACCTTCCTTTCTGTCTACTTAACTCTTCATGTATCCGTTCCCAATCTCCATATTTGTAGATCTACACCATAACCTCGCCTGACTTATCCGCAGTTCAAATCCAATTTCTTAATATTATAAGTACTTTGTTGTACTGAAGACTCATACTAACAAATACAAAGTAATAAACGAAGAACATATTTTCGTTGACTGATTCCTAACGCTTCCAATAACCTATTCCTAGTTCGCAAGCTTCCTAACGTCCTTTCTCCATATTTGTTGATCTACACCGTAACCTCCTCTTTTACATACTTATCCGAAGTTCAAACCCAGTTTCTTAATATTATGTACTGAAGACTCATACTACTAAATACAAAGTAATAAACGAAGGACATATTTTTGTTGACTGATCCCTAACACTTCCAACAACCTATTCCTCGTTCGCAAGCTTTCTAACGTCTTTTCTCCATATTTGTAGATCTACACCGTAACCTCCTCTTTTACATACTTATCCAAAGTTCAAATCATTTCTTAATAAATACTTTGTTATACCGAAGTACACCTTGTGCTAATAAATAATAAACGAAGAGTATCTCTGCTGACCCAGCGCCCCCAACAATCAGTTGCATCCCGAGCTTGTCAAGGTGTATTGAAGCTTCTGACGAGGGGTGCCCGAGTACACCTATGTACCGCAAATCTATACGCAGAAATATGAAAGAAGCTTCTGACTATGTAGTTCGATGCCTGTAGGGTTGTCGAGACTGCAAAGGTTCGGGTGGTTCGACGAGAGGTTCGGAACCGTTGGAGGCAACCCGAAGAAAACGAATGGTGCGGGAAAGGAAAGGGTCGCTCGAGTGCATATTTCCAGCTTGCCGCCTCCATCGTGAACGCTAAAATATATTTTCCTAGGAAGTGTCGTCACGGGAGGGCCTCCAGCTGCTGGTCGTGATATTCTACATGCGTAATGCTCACGCGGATATTTCCATACATAAATTTCATCCGGGTGAAAGTAGGTGGCGGCGGTGGTGTTGCACGTCGCCGCTGATGATGCCGTATTCGCGACGTGCTCGAGAATCGCTGATCGCGTCTCCCCAAAGGTTATTCTTTATTTTCTACAATTATTTTCGACGACTTTATTTTTGTCAAGTGACGCAGATTAGAAACTAATTTCTTAAGGTACATATTTATGCCCCGCGTGACATGTTGTTAACTAAGTCTCTTTCTGCGCGTCGCCGACTTGGTTGTACCGGAAGCCCATATCGATACGTATGTTTTCGCCGTTTATCAAGGGGTTCTCGATACACGCTTGAATCAAGTGAGCCACTTCTTCGCATTTCCCGAAACGTTTCGGCGTCAAGTTCATGGTGACCCAATGCTTTCTGTCTTCCGGTGTCAGTACAGCTGGTCAAATACCGGATAGTTAGGCAGATAAAATTGTTGCTGTAAGAGTAATCTGATTAGTTGTTTTTTATGTTCGATCCTTTGCAAAGGTGACATTCGATTTTGTAGTCGAGACTCTCACTACTTGCGGTGACTTGAGAGATGGCCGCGGCTCAAATCTCAAATGAACATGAATCGGAATCAATAATACAGTTTGAATGAAATATTTTCTAACTTCTACAGTGTTGTGTACTCATTGTTATAAGTTCACTGTGTTAGTGAAACACTAGTAGCAAATAATAAAGAAATGACTATCTAAAAAATTCATCAAACTTTAGAACTGTGATGACAGCAAAAATGACCAATGCAAAGAATAAAGTTATCGGTTATTTATGCATATATTACTCATCATGGGACTGTCGATGAAACCAGGGCAAATACCGATGACCCTAATTCCTTTCTCGGCGAAATCCCTAGCTAGAGGCATTGTCATGCCAGCAACTGCTGATTTGGAACTACCATAGACGACCACGCTAGCTGGCGCCTCGTATGCAACCATACTCGAAAGGTTGATAATGACGCCTCTCTGATTGTGTATATCCGGTGTGTTCTCCGCCATCATACCGACTACCAGACGAGTAACGTTGAACAGACCCCATACGTTCGTGTCGTATATGCATTTGTATAGATCTACCGAATGGGGTTTCTTAGATTTGAAGTCGTACGTTCGCTCGAAACCCAGCACTCCAGCTGAATTAACGAGCACGTTCACACCTCCAAATTTCTTCTTTACCATCTTCATGCTTTCTAGAACGTCCTTTTCGTATCTGACCTGTAAAGTTATGGGAATATGGATATTTATCTTTTGATGATGGATGTGACACAGTGATATATTTTATGTTATATTGTTGATATATTTTTAGGTCGATGAATATGACATTAATATGTAACATATCAGTTAACGTAAAGGAACATAAAGTAAAGTCACGCAAGGACTTGACGTAGATAGGACGTTAACCTACTCTAGTCATACGCATTCGGATAACGAGGTTAACTTTTGCTAATAAGATTCTGTTCACTGATTATTAATAATTTATATACCAAATGTTTAAATTACAAAACAAAGAATTTTGTTTATGTTATTTCGGAGCTAAACTTACGTCGGTACATGTGAATAGAGCTCTTTCGCCCATAGCGTCCGCCAGTTTTGCTCCATGCGAGGATATATCGGCTATCACTACTTTACCACCTTGGCAAAGAATATTCTCTGCAACAGCTCTACCGATACCGTTCGCACCGCCTGTTACGTAAGCGACAATATGCTAAGAACAACAATTAGTACACATCCGTACTTGTCAGAAACGTATAAAGTATCTTTCATTTACTTGCAGAATCCCCATTTTACACTTTTTAAATATGCACTACGTTAAAATCAGTTTAAGGAACTATAAACTGATTAAGCAGAAAATGTTAAAACATTTTCTGCCTTTTCAGTAATTATCATTCGTCTCCAATCTCTTCTACGTTCTCATTGAATAGTCAATCGATTATTTTATTTATAACGACAAGTTCAAGTTAGAAATAAATGACAAATAGAAAGATTCAGTTGTTATTGGAGCAAAATCTTTTGAGCGAAAGCGGAAATTTACGCTGGAAGCGTCGATCCGTTAAGGCGGCAACGTCAACCGGGCGATATAACCTAATTCTCGACGATTAAATGCAACAGTTGCGATAAGGCTTGTAAATTGAGCGAATTATGCCGCTGTTAGCTGAACACGACGTAGCCTCGACCGATTAACATGCGCATTACGCCAGGTCGAAACGCTCAACCTGGCATTTGCATCGAAACGCGTCGAACAATCTCAGACTTCCACACCTGCTACCTTCTACTACTTGCAATTCATTCATTTATAGATCCCTAATCTGCATTTCATTTACAACGGGCAAAAAATGTTTTCTTCGGCTACATAGTGACATACCGGGTGCGTCAATGAGTACACGTGTAAGAAATGATCCACTTCGAAACAAAATTTTGAAAATGTATATACAGCACTGTGTTACAACTACATTCTATTTCAAACTTTTACAAAAATGTGGAACATTTCGTGAGTTACGCGTTCTGACACACCGGGTGCGTCAATGTCCATCTATATAAAATAAGAAATGACATATTTCGCGTGTTTTGAAAAAAATTTTTGGAAATGTATATATAATATCAAATTTCAACTGCAATTTATTTTGAACAGAAATAAAAATATCGAACATTTCATTAGTTATACGTGTTGACGCACCAGATGCGTCATACGACACGTTATATAAAATGGAGAATGACGCACCAGGTGTGTTTTCAAGCAAAATTTTGGAAGTGTCCATACAGCACCGTGTTCTGACTACATTTTAAGAAAATTATAACTAGATTACAATATTTTAAACATATTTCCTCTTCTTGAAAGAAATGACGAGGACGAACATTCTTTTGAACCATTCAAATTAATTAGAATAATGGTAAGACTTTTGTGACGCTTGTTACCATTTATTAATTGCAGATCATTCATCTGTAGATCTATAATCTGCATTCTATTTCAAACACAAAGAATATGCAACATTTTATTAAGCGTTCTGATACACCTGGTGCGTCATACAGTGTCTCGAGTAGAAAATGACGCATTAGGTGCGTTCAATTTTGAAAGCGTTTGCACACTATCGTGATGTATACAATTTTTAAGAAAACTACATATAAATTGCAATATTTAAAACATTATTTATAAATCCAAAACACGTATTTCATGTGCAAAACATGAGAATATCAAATATTTCGTTATTTGATCTTTTTGACATACCTGCTGCGTCATCCGATGCCTATCTAAAATAAAGAAGGTCACAAGGTGCATCTGACTTACTAATTTCGGAGGTGTATGCACAGCATCGTGTTGCAAGTATACTTTAAGAAAACATCAGATGTATTACAATGTTTAAAACACTATTTATAAGTCCATAACATTCATTTATTTTCCACGTCATGAAAAATATCAAATACTTCGTTGATCATTTTCGAAGGACGCATCGTTTGCGTCTAAAACAGAAAATTCGAAAACTGCACCGTTACGCAGTTACACCCGAATAAAACCATACTCAAGTCGTAGGAAATGACGAGGAACAGAAATGTTCTTCGAAACCGTCCGAGTTAACCGACGCGATGGGAACACTTCAGGTTGATCTTCGACAAATTGTTAGTCCGTACGCCCGACCAATTTCAATCTTCCGCTAGTTCCAATTTCCTGCGCGTCATTACTGGTGTTCGTAAACCGTCGACCACGAGAAAATCTTACGGCGTTCCCGTTACCGAAGAAAGCAGTCGTACCCTAACTGCCGTCGAAACTTCTGCTCGCGACAGCCATCGGTTTTCCTTCTTCCGCCATATTCTCGGCGTTCCCGCTCCCCGACCGATCGGCCGCCAAACGCACCGGCGATATTCAAGGTTGCTGCACAAGCAACGGCTTTGCACTGTTGCGTATCAAGCAGGGAGCCCGTGAACACACGGAGCCCCATACCTGGATCGTTCGTTTTGCACACGGGTGCGAATCGTGGAGAAATGTTCGGAGCAGTAGTCGGGGGCAACTAGGAGGGACGCTGAAGCCGGGACGTGAGGCTGGCGGAATAAAGGGGTTGGGAGGGGTGGCAGAGGTCGCAGAGGTCGGACACCACGTAAATTGCATACCCGATTGCGGTCTACTGAAGAGTGGTGCCCTCCAGTGGGCAACCCCCTCTTCAGACCGTACCAACCCCAAACTGGATCTAACAAGCCAGCAACCACAGACTAGGTTCGGCTTGCAACGGGGCTGCCACCTCTAGGGACTGCCGCCGGGTAAAGCCGGTGAACTGTCCCTCATGTCCTGACTGGAAACCCCTGCTTCCTTTCTGTTTCTCTTCCTACCTCCTTCCACACCCGTGAAAACCTTCGAGCCCATCCAGCCGTCCTAACAAGCCCGCTTACCTTCGGCTTGTAAACCTACTGACGTTACTGTCCAGACGATGCTTCTCTGATCGCGACGTTGTTGGATAAAAAAAGATCGCGTGACTGCGTGTTGCGTGATTTGGACGTGAAATTTATTTATTCGTCGATCGACTTTAATTTGGGAGTTTGAGGATCTGGAAAATTGGAACGAGTGGATCGTGAGGATTTTGGGAGTTGAAAAATTTTTGGTAATTTTGTAATTGGCGGATTTGGAGATTTGATGATTTCAGGGTTTCGGGATTTAAGGAGTTCGTGATTTCAAGACTTGAACATTTAGAAATTTGGGGATTCAGAAATATAAGGATTCGTGGATTTGGAAATTTGGGGGATTTGGGGGATTTGGGGGATTTGGGGGATTTGGGAATTTGGGATTTTGGGAATTTGGAATCTAGAAAATTTTGGATTTAGGGAATTTGGAATTTGGGAAATTTGGGATTTGGCGAGTTTGGAATCTGAGGAATTTAGAATCTAGGAAGTTTTGGGAACTTGAGATTTGGGGAATTTGGGATTTGGGGAATTTGGGATTGGGGGAAATTAGGATTTGGGGAACTGGGATTTGGGGAATTTGGGATTTGGGGAATTTGGGATTTGGGGAAATTAGGATTTGGGGAACTGGGATTTGGGGAATTTGGGATTTGGGGAATTTGGGATTGGGGGAAATTAGGATTTGGGGAACTGGGATTTGGGGAATTTGGGATTTGGGGAATTTGGGATTGGGGGAAATTAGGATTTGGGGAACTGGGATTTGGGGAATTTGGGATTTGGGGAATTTGGGATTGGGGGAAATTAGGATTTGGGGAACTGGGATTTGGGGAATTTGGGATTTGGGGAATTTGGGATTGGGGGAAATTAGGATTTGGGGAACTGGGATTTGGGGAATTTGGGATTTGGGGAATTTGGGATTGGGGGAAATTAGGATTTGGGGAACTGGGATTTGGGGAATTTGGGATTTGGGGAATTTGGGATTGGGGGAAATTAGGATTTGGGGAACTGGGATTTGGGGAATTTGGGATTTGGGGAATTTGGGATTGGGGGAAATTAGGATTTGGGGAACTGGGATTTGGGGAATTTGGGATTTGGGGAATTTGGGATTGGGGGAAATTAGGATTTGGGGAACTGGGATTTGGGGAATTTGGGATTTGGGGAATTTGGGATTGGGGGAAATTAGGATTTGGGGAACTGGGATTTGGGGAATTTGGGATTTGGGGAATTTGGGATTGGGGGAAATTAGGATTTGGGGAACTGGGATTTGGGGAATTTGGGATTTGGGGAATTTGGGATTGGGGGAAATTAGGATTTGGGGAACTGGGATTTGGGGAATTTGGGATTTGGGGAATTTGGGATTGGGGGAAATTAGGATTTGGGGAACTGGGATTTGGGGAATTTGGGATTTGGGGAATTTGGGATTGGGGGAAATTAGGATTTGGGGAACTGGGATTTGGGGAATTTGGGATTTGGGGAATTTGGGATTGGGGGAAATTAGGATTTGGGGAACTGGGATTTGGGGAATTTGGGATTTGGGGAATTTGGGATTGGGGGAAATTAGGATTTGGGGAACTGGGATTTGGGGAATTTGGGATTTGGGGAATTTGGGATTGGGGGAAATTAGGATTTGGGGAACTGGGATTTGGGGAATTTGGGATTTGGGGAATTTGGGATTGGGGGAAATTAGGATTTGGGGAACTGGGATTTGGGGAATTTGGGATTTGGGGAATTTGGGATTGGGGGAAATTAGGATTTGGGGAACTGGGATTTGGGGAATTTGGGATTTGGGGAATTTGGGATTGGGGGAAATTAGGATTTGGGGAACTGGGATTTGGGGAATTTGGGATTTGGGGAATTTGGGATTGGGGGAAATTAGGATTTGGGGAACTGGGATTTGGGGAATTTGGGATTTGGGGAATTTGGGATTGGGGGAAATTAGGATTTGGGGAACTGGGATTTGGGGAATTTGGGATTTGGGTAATTTGGGATTTGGGGAATTTGGGTTTTGAGGAATTTGGCAATTTGGAAATTTGGGAAATTTTCGAATTTTGGAATTGTGGAATTGTGAAATTGTGGAGTTTAGGTATTTGAGAATTTAGAGATTTGGGGATCTCAGGATCTAGAGCTTTGTATTTTTTTTATATTGGAATTTGGGGATTTCAGAACTTAATGATTTGAAGATGAAAAGTATGGAATTCGTGAATTTCAATATTTGTAAATTTAAACAATTCGAATATAGCCACTTGTAAATTTAGGAATTTGCGAATTTGAAGTTCTACAAATTTATGAATCCCCAAATTTAAACATTTGAGTATTTGGAATTTTGTAAATTTGTGAATAAAGAAATGAAATTTGCAAAATTATGAAATTTGGAAATTTGAGGATTTCGAAATTTTTGAA